TCTGTTTCCCGCGCGACGCGGAAAAAACGACTGGAACCGCAAATAACGATCGCTGAGAAATTCTGCCGATAACAGCGAGTACGTACATTCATCGTAAAAACACGCTTCTACTTATCGGATAATCCTTCTGTACGAAATATTGTACCTCGATTAGCTAACTCGCCATCTCTTCTTCGAATTCATGACGAATTTGCAAGGCGCGAAGCTGACCAAGCATCGTGATTGGCAAATGCGCCGTTAAACGGAGGACAATGAAAAGAGGGAATTGTAATTCTAATAATATCCTACGTTTGCAAACTGAGCGCTACGGGTGTGTCGCGCGCGGAATACCGTCACTTCCTTCTCATCCGAACGGTGATTGTCCAAGTTGCGGAACAACAAAGATAATTGTCTTTTGGAACGGGGACCGTCGAAACGTGAATCACGTTGCTTGCTTGGAAATCTAATCGTGGTTGATACGCGTTTGATGGAGCGATCGATACGAGTTGGTCTCGTAATGATACGGCGACGAGAATCAACCGGAAACGGGTCGTCAACCGGAACGAGGTTCTTTCACGACCCACTCGCGAGTTGCGGATAACGTAACAAAGCGTAGCTCCGATCAATGTGAATTCATCCTGAGATGTCCTTTACGTACGTAGGTTTCCAGAGGACGAGGTAACGGGTTAAGGAGAGGAGAGGAGAGGAGAGGAGAGGAGAGAAACGCGTTCTTACGCTTTCAGTGGGAGTACGAGTCGTGTTTCGTTGCATGAATCGTACGGTTGTCCAGCATAATAAGATGCATGTCTCTGACGTAAGACTTTCACCCCCGAGGGAGGTTCCTTTTCAAACTCTATCCCTGCCTGCTTCTCGATTCTCCTCTCTCTCTCTCTCTCTCTCTCTCTCTCTCGCCACTCGATCGATAATTACGTAACGGAATATAAAGTTTACACCACGGTGTAATAATATCCCTTCCTCTCTCGTGTACACACCTATTCCATTTAAAACGTAAACATCTTTCGAAAGAACGAACTCGTCTGTGAACGATCACGTTTAGTCTGATAAGATGAACAGAAACGACATTTTTCGTCCGATCGTATCGATCAACGTTCGCGATAAGATTTATAGAACCAAGGATAGAGATAACTGGAACAACGCGTCCTAACTACATAACGTTCGCTTGATAATTAAACTTCAATGCCGCCGTCTTCACTAATTCTTCTATATTTCTTTCGATGAAATTACTTTTACGATCGAACGTGGATGTTGTTTTAAACATGTTACCGTTAAACAAAGATCGGCCTCGCTTCTATGCGTTCGACGCGCGAACAAACGGAACGGTGCGGTGGGAGGGAAAATTTCATAAAGGATCGAACCTTGTAACGAATCTCCTTTTTTTACTTTGCAACAAACAATCGATGAAACACGCGATACACAGTCATCGTCCATCAATAACCACCACTTACAGCGTCATTCCTCGATAATTATTTCAGGATGAGACGACAACGTTTCATTTAGAGACGTCACCGGTACGCTTTTAGTTTCGCGCATTTTTCATTTCCCGTTCCTTCTAACCGACTAGAGTTTCGAACTGGACCGAAACTGGACGGAAACTGGACCGAAATTGGACCGCTCGTCAATGAATCGTGTTAAGTTTTCCATCGCGAGTGTAAAGTCAACGACGCATGGCGATAAAAGCGATGGCGAGAAAGCGTACGGAACCAAGAAAACATTTTGCCCAGCTATATGTATAATACAGCGTATAGAGAGATTTTTATAAAACTAGGTTAAGCTTCCTAGATTTAGCGGAATATTATAACAGAGGAGGGCCCAACGATCGAATATTGCATGTGCATTCGTGAAATACCTTCGTTGTGGTAAATCGTCCGTCGGTAATCGATGACGATCGATCCAATAGAGAAAACGAACAAGATGTAAATGAAAGTGAGGGAAAGCCCGATAAGCGACTACTTTTCAACAACTCGAGTACCCAGAAGGTCGTGAAGGTTGCTACTCACCGCGTACTTATCCTTGTAAAAAAGCGAACTGGTCGACATGGCGTTAATCCTGAAGCAACAAGTTGCACAGATCGCATAAAGTCACGGTTTCATCGCTGATCTCCGTTATTTCGGTTGCAACTACTCCTCGAGATATCCATTGAGTGTTGACGCACACGCGCACACGCGCGCGCGCCAGTATCTTCTTACGGATTAATAAAAACAAGGGAAAGAAAGAAACGAAACGAAAAGTAATGGAAACTCGTCGGAAAGGTGGTCGACGCTGCCAACTGAGAGTACAATTGCGAGAGTACAACGCAAATACGAGGAGTTCTAGAGGCACGTTTACACGGAAATAGGCAACTGCAGCCGCTGTTCAACGAGACGAGTCGAAGCTGCGAAAGAAAGACTGAAACACCGTGTGTATGTCCTGTTAGTTTATGGCCACGGTTACGGCAAGAAAGGTGGTATCGCCCCATCCCTCTCCCCCTTCCCCTCGTTGCCCCGCCGCGTGCTGCCCATACCCCACCACAGCCGCGATGACCTACAATCTAACGCAAAGGCTCTCTCTTTTCGCTCTCTTTTCCCTTCTCCCTCCTCTCTCGCTCGCTCCTCGTCCCTTCCGCCCGTCCTTTCTCCCTCTCTTTTCAAAATTCATACACCATTATTTCGTGAAAATTTATTATCGTTGCTTTACTTTTTCCCTTGGTAAAGCAGATTCCTCCGAGTCGTTTAAATCAGTTCGTTTCAAATTAGCGATATGTCGGAAGATATTATATGTATGTAAGTACGTTGTATTTATGTACGTTGTATCGTGAAAGCAGTGATTTGCTTCTGTTTAAACAAACGGATTAAAGGGAATGCATCCCTTTTACAACGTTTCGTTTTTTACATTCGTAAGAACGTTTTCAAAAATTAACCGACGGTAGATTTCAACGTATAACAGCTAGATACAACTAAAAATTTCCAGCAATTTTTCCATTACAAATCACGTAAAGTAGAAACGTACTTACAGACACCTTTTATCGTACAAGTTGATCGTGCTGGTTACGTTAAATGAACTTTTAACGTGAAACATTACCGTAACTTAGAAGGTGCGCGCAAATTCACTTTTTAAACGTTCGATTCCGGAAACAAGAGAATTCGACATCGACAGAAGCAACCAATCGCCATCTTGTTTGATCGATAGTTGAATCTCGAAACACTCTCGAATCAGAGCTCTACGCCGCGATACGTAAGTGTTCTGTGTTTGTTTGCTTCTCGCGGAACGAAGCTCTCGAAATATGACTCAAGAAGGCCAGTAAGTATAGAAGAATTCACTTAAAATTTCCTTTTAACATGTTCCTTGATCCTGATGTTCTATTTCTTTCGTATTATTACGAGAAAAGTAACAGATATTCGTGGAAAGAGCTCGAATGCCGCCCCGTGGCTTTCGAAACACCGCCATGTTGTAAGACGGCTTTATTGATTCTCGAAATTTCTGGAAAAGAATCGCAAAAAATTATATTCTCTTCCTCTTTTTTCTTCCCTTCTAACACACTATTTGTTACTTTTTTTTATAATCGTTATTCTATCGATAAGAAATTCTCCATCCCCTTCCGTTCCTTTCCGAAACCATTAGATAGTCCAATTTTCCATGCACGAGATTTTAATGGCTCGAATATTTCCAACGCACTATTTATCCATATATTTCACATGTTCAAAGTATATTCCAATTTTTTTATTCATTTTATCGAAAACAATTCAACAGAGTAAGATTATTCTTGCTTTTCTTAATTGCTTTACAGAAGTAACGTGTCCTTTTATCTATAATGACTAATGGTTTTCATCGGAAACCATAGAGCTTCGTTCCTAACCTTTATCTACGTTTTACAATTACAATTTTGTATTATGTATGCTTAATATTTCTTTCGTATCTCAAACTTGTTAAACGTCGCATTTTTTCTTTTTCTTTTTTTTTTTTTATGTTACATTTTCGTTTCAAATGTATTCGTTAACGATTAACCAACGGTGCTCACATACGGAATTAAATTGATGCTTAATTTATCGTAGTATATTACTACAAATTTATGTATATATTAATATGCAATGATTTATACGTAACGTATACGTCGTATATATATACATATATATTTTATGCAAAAATTATCTTTATATGATATGTAGATGATAAATAGTGATTGATATATAGCTGCTCCGCACAGCTATTTCTCTCGATTCACCTATTTCAATTTTGCAAATTTCTTTCCTTTCGTTATTCTCGTTCTAACAATGTATAATATAGCTTTTTCTATGCTATTCCAAGAAAAAGTTGATTGTTTAAAAATTCTTTAGACTGCCTCCTCCACCTGTTCTGTGGGCCCAGAGAAGAGATATTATATATCTTACCATCTGTTTGGAAGACTGCAAGGATCCAGTTATTAACATCGAACCACAAATGATATATTTCAAAGGAGTTGGTGGAACGGAACAAAAAATGCACGAATTAACCATTAACCTATACGAAGAAATTAATCCAATTCTAACACAACAGAAGTTAAGGGGAAGGACTTTAGAGTTAATTCTTACCAGAAAGAAATCAGGTCCGTATTGGCCAAGATTAACTAAGGAAAAGACGAAAGCGCATTGGTTAAAAAGTGATTTTAATAAATGGAAGGATGAAGATGATAGTGATGATGATGCTGACACCAAAGGTGGAAGCGATTTAGAAGAAGTATGAAAATATTCCTTTTATCTGTATCGTTTCTTCCTGATTCTTTTCACACAAGACAATTACACTTGCTCCATTACTGTTTACAGATGATGCGACAGATGGGTGGCTTAGGAGGATCAGAAGGTAGTAAACCACACTTGGATGATTTAGATTCTTCAGATGAAAGTGAAGGAATGGATAGCGACTTCGATGATATACCTGATCTTGAATGAAAAAAATTTGACGCTACTTTCAAATAATCTTCATTAAAAAAAAAATAATAATAAAAAATACAAAAAATAAATGGCGACCTAAGAATAGTGCACCACCAGGCGATATTTCAGTAGGCCATGCTATTTGTATTTTCAATTGCAAATAAGTTTTGCAAAGTTACTAATGGCCCAGATTGCAGTAGCAAACAGGCAAATAAGGTACATGAAAAACTGTCAACATAAAGGGATACAGTGGTCAAGAGAAAAAACAGTAATATACTTTTTAAAGATTCTCCAATCTTTCTTTATTCCGTAGTTCATATATTAAGTTATAATGAACGAGCTTTTTTAATTACTTGTGTATAATATGAAGGAGATAAAATAATGAAAATGCATTAAATTATTTGTGGAATTGTTTATTTCAGGAAATCCCGTTAAAAAAAACTTCAAACATGCAATGTTTGCATGTATGAAAGAAACTTTATCAACATCAGTGCAAACAACTTTATTTTGTCTCTTTACAACCTTGATATCTTTTTCTTTATATTTGCTGCATCATAAATCATTTTCGGAATTATTCTTGGTTATCCTACAATAAGTACGATAACAATTACAGAATAAAATATCCGTGTTCTATACTATTTAAATATAAGGTAATGATAGAAATTAAAATTCTCACTTCATTTATCCAACAATACTGGAAGCGCCGCGTAACGCTAGATATCCAGCAGTTATATCCATCGGTAGACTTCGGACTGTTGCAAATTCTTCTGCGGTTGCATAGTATAATTTAGTCTGTGGATCTGTATATCGTGCCTGTAAAATAAATGTACTTTATATATCAGTTTACATTTTAATGATGTAACCAAATCGTACGAACGTGAAGGAATGAGACACTTCACTTACAGGTAGTCCAGAAATATCCGAATACTTTTTCGCTGGTCTGAAACTTGGCGGTGCATTAATAGAGCTATCTGAAATTTTCCTAAGTTAATTATACCTTTCATTGTGAAGTAACATTAAATTATAAAATTATAAAAATATAAAATTCATCCTTCAAATCAAATACATCAATAAGTGACACACAACAAATTTTTACTATTTCGAACATTTCAACTGCAAATACAAAGATTGCAGTGAAAAGAAACCATAATATTCAAATCGTTCTAAATCTTAATTAAAAATGTAAAGCATCGTTCAAAAGAATTCGTACAATGCACCACTTCTGCTGGCCATGGTAAAGTGCGTTCTTGAGCTAAAACTTGCTTTAAAGAACGCCAAGTTCGTTTTTTTCCAGTGGTACTGGTAGATCGAAATTTCTGTTGGAAAATTGGATTCTTAAAAACTGGTTGTGGTTTCTTGTTAAATTCCACTACTTCGTCATTTACCATTTTTCATTTCACCTGAAATAATTATAAACCTCTCATTAAAATTAATAATCAAAATATATTAAATAATATGCGTAATTGTTAACATTACGATTAATATAATTATATAAGTTTCTATCGTATGTTACAGTATCGTTTAACAAATTCATTCAATGTATTGCATTAGATGTATGTTAAAAGATTTTCTTTATTATAAAATTACATTTAAAATAATTTTTGTTCTGGGC